CAGTGGGCCTAGTGGACAGAAAGTGATTACTCCCAAGTTGAAGGTGGGTGACTTTAATCTGCAGCCCTCAGGCCTGTTTTTAATTGGTTTTGGTCAAACATTCTTCTAGGTCACATAGCCCTGGTCTGTCCACTTGCTGTACAGAGGTAAATCGTGGTTGCTGTGAAGCTGAACACTGTGACATTGATGTGTCAAATGTGATAATGGTCCCCCATGGTGGACAGTGTTTGGTGGAGCTCACCAATTAAAACAAGCTTGGAAGCAGAAGTGGCATCCACTTCTGAAATAGCTTGCCTCTGGAAACCTTATGAACCTGGAGAAAGGATGAAAGTTATATAAGTGTTCAGGTCTTTCATTGATAGGGTCGCTATGAGTCGTCTATAACTCGACAGCACTTAACAACAACAACAACAACAATAATACATAGTCATTTGGTTTTCATTTTTAATCTTAAAAAATTAAAGGTGTTTTTTTATATTGCTACAAAACAAAAATCATGATGACTTAAGTGCCGTATTTTATATAGTTCTCATTTTCTGATAGTGAAAATCTGTTTCCTTCTTTGGAAATTGGAGACATATTCTTTATCATATTCTTCCTTCTCATCATCCCCACCCCTTTGTCCCACTATTAGTGTTGTTGTTGCCTTCCTTCATGCCCTTGTTATTGTTAGGTGCTGTGGAGTCAAGTAAAACTCATAGTGACCCTATGAGCAAAAAATCTGAGCCCCGTTCTATCCTGTGCCATCCTCACACTTCCTGACACACAAGAGCCCACTGCAGCAGTCACTGTGTCAATCCACCTGGTTGAGGCTCTTCCTCTCCTTCATCAACCATCCACCCCTCCCAACATCATGTTCCTTTCCAACGACTAGCATCTTCTAGCAATGTGTACAAAGTACATGAGGCAAAGCCTCATCATTCCTTTTCTTTTTTTCACCACAAGCCTCTGCCCACAAAGCTCTGCCACCTGGTGATTTCCTCCACACCACCCACAGCCCCCTGCCTAAGCCTCATCATTCTTGCCATTAAATAGCACCCTGGCTGCACCCTCACCAAGACATACTTGTTTGTTCTATCAGCTATCAATGGGATGTTCAACACTTTTCTCCAACATCACAGCTCAAGACACCAATTCTTTTTCTGTCATCCTTACTAATTATCCAACTCTCAGATGCATAGCAAGTGAATAGAAAGCCTATGGCCTAAAACAGATGCACTTTGAAGATGACAGCAAGTATATTTTAATACTGACTGGACAGAATCATGATGTTTAAGAAAAATAGAGAGAATAATGCTTAATTAGATGCAGTGGAGGAGACTCCATCACAGATGACCCTTTAATGGCTATGGGAAATCTTTCCATTTCTAAAATCATTAGCACAATGGAGAAAAGGAGTAATTTACATAATTGAAGTGCTAATGAATACTGATCTTTATTAGGACTAATTTAGTTTTGAGTGTTACAAATTATTTGTTTTCACCCAATAGAATTAACTAGTATTAGCTCTACAGACTATAATTGCAAGCAAAGTAATTGAATCATTTAAAACTTTTAAAAAATATTATCTTTATTTTAAATCAAGGAATATTTTCTTCCAAAATGACCTAGGAGAAGAAAAAGGAGGAATTTCAAGACTAAATATTAGCTAGACACTTTTTAACTATGTGAAGTCACAGGGGTAAAAATTGTTACTACCTGGTATTTCATGATAGTCATGAAAACTTTAATTCCTATCAAGAAGATATAATTTTAGAAAGAGGGTTTTTTTT